TTTCACCATCCAGTCAGGCTTGCCGTTCAGACCGCACTGCTGGACAACCTGAGCCACGGTCGGCTCATCGTGGGTACCGGGCGCGGTTCCGCCTACAACCACTACGAGTACCTGGGTTTTGGCATCACCATGGAAGAGGGTGTAGCCCGGCTGGATGAAACCGAAGAGCTTCTGGTGGCAGCCTGGACCCAGGAGGACCTGCAACACCATGGGGAGCACTGGAACGTGGAATTTCCGCTGCTGCGTCCCCGTCCGTTTCAGCGGCCGCACCCTCCGCTGGTACGGGCGTGCATCAGCGAGGCATCAACGATAAAGATGGCCGAAATTGGCCGGCCGGTAATGATCGGCATCCAGACGCTGGGCACTCTGCAATCGCGGTTGGTACGGTATCGTTCCACCATGTTGGACAGCGGCTTTTCGGAAGTTGAAACCGAAGCTGTCCTGGACCAGTGCTGGGCCTCTCGGGATCTGTTCGTTGCCGAAAGTTACGACGAGGCGCAGGAAATCGCCGCAGCGGGTTTCGAGCGGGAACGGACCCACTTCCGGCATGCCCGGGAAGTGTACAACCCCGGTGGTTTTCCGCCGCCCGACCCCAACCGTCCCATACCGCCCGGCGAAGTTCTCGAGCAGGCCTTCATCCTGGGCACGCCGTCCCAAGTCGCGGAGCAGGTGGCGGAAATGCGCGATATCGGCGTACGTAACCTGATGCTGAAGCTGAACACCGGGGAGATGGACACCCGCAAAGTAAGGAAATCCATGCGGCTCTTCGGGGAAAAGGTAATGCCACTCTTCACCGAGACCGGGCCCATTGCCGCGCAGTCCAGGGACTGAAGGAAAGGCAATGCGAGGCTTGAATCCGGCTAGGAACTGGCAATCCCCAGCAGAATGTAGGCTAATTCGTGGGGATGGCTGATCATGGGATCGTGGCCCGAACCGAGGTGAAATGTGCGCCACCCAGCGGCTCGAACACGGTCCGCCACAGACTGGAAACCGGCCTCCTCTCCGCCAACAAAGCTCCGGGGAATGCTGCGGGCAGCGGGATTTCCTATTTTTATCCTTCCGGCCATGGCTGCGGCAGGCTGCGGCGTCACCTTTGAAAACATCCACTCCCGATCCGCTGGGTCTGGAATACCCCAACGGCGTCCGATCTCTTCCGGAGATGCGGGCGCCGGCAGATAGCCTTCTCCCCGGTCGATACAGCCCTGCACCCACGCGGCAAACTCCGGTCCTCGCACGGGTACGAGTTGGTCGGCCATGGACTCGTCGTTAGCGGGGACCACGCTGTTGATGTAAACCAGGTGTGAAAGGCGCTCTGGACAGACTTCGGCGACGCCGGTTACTACCATCCCGGCGTAGGCGTGGCCTACCAGTATGACGTCGGTCAGCGATTCATACTCCAGCAGTTGGGCTATGTCGCGAATATGCAGGTTGAGATCCAGCTGCGCAGGGTCGATCATTTCGGCCAGGTGAGCCCGTTCGCCCAGACCGCTCAACGTGGGTGTGTACACGGAAGCTCCCGACCCAAGAAGCAACGGTGCAATCTTGCGCCAGCACCAACCGCCATGCCATGCGCCATGTACCAGTACGAAGGTTGCCAATTCCTGTCCTCGACAAGTCAAGGTTCGTCAACGACTTTGAGATAGGTTAGTATATCGCCCAATCCTCACGGCCAAAAGAACGTGTGGGAGGATAGGAGCCTGCTCAAATGAAGCAAATAATCATAGACACTGATCCCGGTATTGACGATGCCGCAGCACTGTTCCTTGCCCTTGTCAGCCCCGAACTGGAGGTGGTTGCCTTAACCACGATATACGGCAACGCCTCCGTTGATAGTTGCACAGTCAACGCTTGCCGGCTACTGACCGTGGCCGGCAGGGCCGACATTCCGGTGTACAAGGGCGTGCGCAAGCCACTCCTGCGACCGGCTGCCGAGGGTTGGGCCGCCCATATTCACGGTTCCGACGGGCTTGGTGGGTTTGGCGAAGTGGCCGGAGTAACCGGAAACGGTGACAACGCCGCCGGCTCAATTACAGTGGACGAGGAAAGGCCGGAAGCGGCTATTCCGGTGGAGGGTAAGCACGCGGCCCTGGCGATTGTGGAGACGGTGATGGCCGCGCCAGGCCAGGTCACAATCCTCGCCCTGGGGCGCATGACCAACGTGGCTCTGGCGCTGGCCCTGGAACCTGCAATTGCAGAGTCGGTAAAGGAGATAGTGGTCATGGGGGGCGCGGTCGCGGTGCCAGGCAATGTATCCCAGGTTGCGACAGCTAATTTGCATGAGGATCCGGAGGCCGCGGCCATTCTATATCGCTCCGGCGCTCCCATAGTGCAGGTCGGGCTGGACGTCTGCAATCAGGTGACCGTCAGTGCAGCCCAGATCGAGACGTTCAAGCAGGCAGCTTCTCCGGCGACCCAACTCCTGGCCAAGGCCACCACCTATCTGCGGGACGCCTATATCCGCACCGGACGTATCGGGCCCGAAGAAGGCGTGCGTTACAACGATATGCCCGCCGTTGGATATGCCATCAACCCAAGCCTTTTTAACGCCCTTCCCGCCCATGTGGAGATCGAGACGCACAGCGAATTGACTCGGGGGCAGACTGTGGCCGACTGGAACACTCCAAATCCCAACGCCCATATATGCCTGGAAGTGGACGTTGCAGCGCTAACGACCCTGTTTACAGAGCGGCTGTGCCTGGGGACTTTGTAGCGGCCCGAGTATGCGGTTCGGACAGGTTCAACCTTGGTGTGGGAGCACTGCTAACATTCTGGGCTTGGACTAATTGGTAATTGACAATAATGTGCTGGTGGTCCCCGCCACGCAAATCGACTCTCTACTCACCCCTCAGGTCAGACACCCTCGGACCAACCTCTTCCATCAGAAGTTGCAGGCACTCGTGCTCCCATTCCGGGTCGTCGGGGTCCTGGGTTATTGCCAGCAAGTGCCCGAAGCCACCGGTCTGTTCGTAAAGGTTGCGGATTCGGTCGGCACACTCCTGCGGGTCGCCCACTATCCAGATATTCTCCATCATGTATTCTACGTCGACGGCTTCGTCAGGCATTTCAGGATCAATCTTGGTGGAGTTGAGCAGACCCGCACCCTGACGGTTGGGCAGTTGATGCTGGATGTAGTTTCGGCCCAGCACTGCCCTGGCCCGTTCCCGTGCCAGTTCCGGAGTACGCGCCACGAAGACATCGCGGCCGATTCTCCAGTCGCTGCGGCTGCACTCCTTGCCGGCACTGGCAGCCCCTTCCTCGACCACCGTCCAGTGGTCACGCAGATGTTGCGGGGCCAGATTGGAACTGCTCATGGGAATCCAGCCGCGTTCCCCGGCTATTCGAATTGAACCGGAGGCCAGGGAAGTGGCGGCCACGCCGATGGGCGGATGGGGCTGCTGGTAGGGCTTCATGTGCAGGCCCCGCTCCATCACTGGGTCTAACTCCGGTGCGTCGACCTGGAAATACTTGCCGTTGTAGGTGAACTTGCCTTCGGATTCCCAGATTTTCAGGATTACGTCAAGGGCCTCGGCAGACCTTTCCCTGACATCGACCCCCGTGTCCGCGCCAACGCCAAAGAGTTTCAGGTCGGTGGGAATGGCCCGGTGGCCAATTCCCCAGTAGATGCGGCCGCGGGACAGGTGGTCCAGCATGGCGATGCGGTGGGCCACTTCCACGGGGTTATGGATGGCCAGTAGGGTGACGCCGGTGGCCAGCTTGATTTGGTCTGTCATGGCGAGGGCCTTGGCAATAAGCAGGTCGGGGCAAGGGGCATTTTCCCAGCGCTCGGTGATGTGTTCGCCAATCCAGGCCTCGTGGTATCCCAGCCGGTCGGCCTCTACTATCAATGCCAGGTCTCGGTCATAGGAGTCGGCATAAGTACGATAGGGCGGATGCAAGGGCATCATGAAGAGTCCAAATTCCATAGCGAAATCTCCCTGGGATCTGATTTTTCGGGTATTGAGGTGCCCTGGTGTCCAGACCACTTGCGGCCATTGTAGGGTGGCAGGCCAGGCTGGGCAAGTACAGGTAGTTGCCGACCGAACAGGGAAGAAACTTGCCCGATATGCCTTTATCGGGCCGCCTGCTGTTTGCGATATTTGATCCACAACCGAATGGCAAGGCGCGGCGGCAGGCTGACCAGCCGATAGACCAGCTTGAGCAACAAGATTGAGGACACGGCTAAATCGACAATCATGCCGCCTCTCTTTAACTGCTCTCGGTGGTAGTCATTCTCGGCGCGCCAGTATTTGGGATCTTTAATCATGCCGCCTCTTTTTAACTGCTCCCAGTGGTAGTCATTCTCGGCGCGCCAGTATTTGGGACATTTGGGCGGTGGCGGCACCATCGGGTGCATACCCATGTCTCGCCTTTTCGGAACCGACTTTCGGTGAGTATAACAGTCGCTCTCGCCAAGGCCACAGGATTATGCCAGGGCTGGACCTACACAATTGCATTAAAGGTTGTCTATTTGAGACTCTGGTCACTTCATCCCCGCTGCCTGGTTGGCAAAGGACTGGTGGATCTTTGACAAGAAGCGTTGCTGGCCCAGAGGGTGTTGGCCGGTCTAACAGCCGGCTGCGAAATAACCCTCAGCCGGACCGTTGTGCGACCGGCCTGGTGCAATAGCCGCCATTTCCGCCTACTTGGAGGCAGGGCTGGTTGTAGCAGACAAGCGGAGCTTCCGCTTTGTCCGCAGCAAGATCTTGAAGCCCGACCCAAAGGTACCGCCACTAAAAGCAACCGTGGGACAATTTCGGTACGATCGGTTCCACTTCTTTGGCTAGACTGGAAGCCAGGTCACCCAGGAATTGAAACGTCTGGCCGGAATTGGACTGCCAGACCTGCATCCTTCTTTTCGCCGTTCCAGGCCAAGTCGCAACTTGGGACCGTGCCCAGTAGCAGCGTTCTCCATGGCACTGAGGCCTCGGTCAAGGCATCTTTTCGGCATGCTACGTGTGCTATCATCAAGTTGAAACGCATTAAGTTGTAGGGGTCAATTCATGCCACGGTTTTTCAGGTTCCGGCGCGCCGGAAGCGTCGCCGTTATTGAAATACACGGCGCCATAGGGACGCGAATAAGGGAATCGGTATACTCGAGGCTTTTTGCCGATGTTGCCGCCAACAAGCGATATCGCGCTCTTCTGTTGGACATCCAATCTCCCGGTGGTTCCGCCGCCGGATCAGAGTTGCTGTACCACAGTCTCCGAAAGGTGGCCGCCCAAAAGCCGGTGGTGGCCCACATCCGCAGCCTGGGCGCCTCCGGTGGCTATTACCTGGCCTGCGCGGCCCACAGGGTTACCGCCCTGCCTACCACCATGGTGGGTTCCATTGGGGTGATCCACTTGAGGCCGGTTTTGGAACAATTGCTCGGCCGGGCCGGCATTGAATTCGCCGTGGTGAAGGGGGGCCGGTTGAAGGACATGGGTGGCTTCTGGCGGGGGCCCACTGAAGAGGAGTCGGAAAACCTTCAAGCGATAATCTCTGAGGTTTACGACAACTTCGTGGCCGTGGTGGCCAGCGGACGCTCAATGGAACAAGACCAGGTACGGGAACTGGCGACGGGGGAGCTTTTCACGGCCCGCCGGGGCAAGGAACTCGGCCTCGTGGACGACCTGGTTGACTTCGAGGAATCCCTGGAAATGGCCGGCCAATTGGCTGGTATCGACAGGAACAAGGCCCGCCCCAAGTGGTTGCGTCCCCATCGCAGCATGTCCGAACGTTTGACTGGACGCCCAGCCTCGCAGGCTGCGGGACTGAGCCTGCTCGGACCGGACCTGCAAAGGCTAATGGCCGGAGGCCTCTACTATCTGGACCCCTCAGCTTTGCTGGGTAGCCCTGAGGGCTGATTCAAAACCGCCGTAACCCTCTTGGCAACTACCATCCGGCGTCGCTGGGGCGCAGTCCCATCAATGCCTGGCCGCCAAACTCGTAGTTGGACAGCAGGCCGGCGCCATGCTGCACCACCACATGAACGTCCCGCCAACGCCGCTCCAGGCCATTTCGCCGGTGGATGGCATTGGTGCCGGCAGCGTGGAACAGAATATCCACGGCCCTGGCTGCTTCATGGATGGAGCGGGTGATAGCCAGGCGCGCCTGGGTTAGATCGGGACTGGGCAAGGGCATATCCTCGGTGTAGGACTCCCACGCCCGTCCTACCGTATCCAGAACATGGGCGCGGGCGCCGCTGATAATCGCTTCAGCCTCGCCAACCTTGGACTGCACCTGCGGCCGGTCCCGCAAAAGAGTAGTGGAGATAGTAGTCCCTGAACCCGTTGCCAGTTCCTTGAAGGCATCCATCGCCCCCCGGGCGGTGCCCAGGGCGACTGCGGACACCAGCACCCAGATAGCGATAAGCATGGTCCGTGGGCTATAGAGAAAACCCCGTTCCAGGGGCGGATCGTACAAACGGAACGACCGTTCAGCAGGGACAAAGATGCCATCCAGCTCAAAATCGTTACTGCCGGTGCCGCAAAGGCCCACCACCTGCCAGGTATCGTAGACTGCCGCCGTCTCTATGGGGGTGAACAGCATCACTGTATCGGGTCGCCCGGCTTCATTTAGACGGGGGCCGGCTTCATCTACTACCCGGGAGTTTACGAAAAGCCAGTTGGCGTTGGATATCCCACTGGCGTAGTCCCAGCGCCCGCTGACCCGATAGCCACCAGGAACCGGTCGCGACTCCCCCAGGGCACGGAAGGAACCGGCGCAGCGGAAGTCGGGAGGACAACCAAACATAGTTTCGGCAGCTTTAGGCGTGAAGTTTCCAGCAAAAACGGCCCCGCCGTTGGACAACAACCCGCACCACCCTACGGACGCTTCCACCCGGGAAACCTCTTCGATCACCCGATAGGCCGTCATGGGATCCAACTGGGGACCTCCCATCCTGGCGGGGAGGAATAGCTGGTAAACGCCTGCCTTTTCGACCGATTCCGCCAGATCGGCGGGAATGCGGCGTTCGCGGTCCATTTGCTCTCGCGCTGCACAGATATGAGGGGCCAGGTCTGTGGCCGCACTCACATGTACTTCGGTCGAATTCTCCTTTACCTGCATTGTTCCTCTCCGGCCGGGCTATGGTCAGGGGCATTCGCCATTCAGGCCCTGCACCGGCTTTGTGGGCGGTTCGCGCCTGGTTGGTTGGAGTCTTCGTTAAAGGGGTGAAGAGCCTACTTTCCAGAGCCACAGCGGCCCAGGTATGCGCTGGTGAATCCAGCCACTATGACAAAGAGCGGATTGATAAAAGCCCACCACTGCAAATGAATCAACCCCACGGCGGCGGGCTCATTCTCAGGAAAGAGAGAATTGAACCAGTTCCAGAAATACCACAGGGTCAGCACAATGGACACGCCGAAACCCCAGTTGGTTTCCAGGTATTCCCGGGTAATGGCGGTATCAGCTTCTCGTCGACAGAACTTAAACACACGCAGGCTGTTGGTGACCAGTATGATGATCACGGCCACCGCCATGAACCAGTTGAGAATCTCCCAAAGCCAGTAATTGGTCGAGCCGTCGTGATAGAGAGGCGTGGCTATCCAGTTCACCGCTACCGCCAGCGCTATCGCAACCAGGTAAATCGCCAGCAGACGCCTAAGGATGTCCATGGTCACCACCTATTCCACAGTGCTGAAAGCTGTCCCCTTAACCTTAACCCACCACACCCTTGGCTTCCTGCCAAAGGGCTTCCTTGTCGTCCAGGGGCAACTGGGTAAAATCCAGTCCTCGTTGCTCTGCCAGTTCTTCCATTTTCAGGTAGCGGCTCCGGAAACGGCCGTTGGCCTGCCGCAGTGCGTCCTCTGCTTGCACGTCCATCCAGCGGCACAGGTTGACCATTACCAGAAAGATGTCGCCCAGCTCATGGGTCTTTTCCTCATCGGACGAGGCTTGCCGGAACTCCTCAACCTCTTCCACTATCTTGTCAAGAACGCCGCCCACGTCCTCCCACTCAAATCCCATGCGGGCCACCCGGTCCTGCATAAGCTGGGAGTAGCTAAGGGCGGGCAAGGCGCCAGGAATGCCATCCACCGGTGACTTGCGTACCCCCTGCTGCGCCCGCTCGGCGGCCTTAAGCTGCTCCCAGTTGAGTTCCACTTCCCGGGCATCGGCAACGCTGGTGTCGCCGAAGACGTGGGGGTGGCGGCGGACCAGCTTTCCATTGATGGCGGTCAACACATCGGCCAGGTTGAAGTCTCCAGCCTCGCGGGCGATATCGGCGTGAAAGGCAACCTGGACAAGGATGTCGCCCAGCTCTTCCGCCAACAGGGGCGGGGACTGCTGGTCGATGGCTTCGAGAGCTTCGTAACATTCCTCAAGGAGGTGGCGCTTCAACGATTCGTGGGTCTGCTCCCGGTCCCAAGGGCACCCCCCGGGGGCGCGCAGCTTCGCTACTATGTCCACCAGGGTTTGAAAGTCACCAAAGTCTCGGTCCGGTAGAGGATTAAAAGGCTGGTCAGTAGTCATGGCCGAATTATAGAGGGCCAGGGTTGATTGCTCAACCTGTCCGGGAGGCGCCAGTGTGGTATGGTTTTAAGGTTGCAAGAGGTCATAATCATACCCCGGGCTACACGAAAGTGGCTCGCCTGGTCACTGGGGGACATTTATTTGCAGGAACCTGCGACAACCAGCTCCGGAACAATCTGGCGCATTGCCGGCATCATTTTTGTCGTGTTTGTGCCACTTTTCCTCATCGCCGCCAGTGTTTCCTGGGCAGTCAACGATGCCGGACTATACAGGCGTGGCTTTGAGAAATACAACATTGCGGCTTACTCGGGAATAACCGACGATGACCTGAACCGCGTAGGGGCTGACCTGCGCCGGTACTTCAATTCTTCCGAAGAGCCTCTGCACGTCGTCGTCCCCATCTATGGTATGGAACGGGAGCTATACAACGAACGGGAAGTTCACCACATGCGGGACGTGAAGGGATTGGTGCAAGGCGCCTATTTCGTAGCCATAGTGACGGCGGTGTATCTGCTCCTGGTAACTGCAGCGGGATATTACCGCCGTCGCCGCGACTTCAGCCCGGAACTGGCCAGGCTTGCGATGCGCGGTGGCCTGGCGACCCTGGCTATAGTCGCCGTCGTAGGCTTGTTTGCCCTGGTGGGGTTTGACTCTCTGTTCCTCCTGTTCCACCAGATCAGCTTTGCCAACGACCTGTGGCAATTGGATCCCCGCACCGACTACCTGCTGATAATGTTTCCCCAGGGCTTCTGGTTCGACGCAACCATGCGGGTGGCTCTCACTACGATACTAGGGGCGGTACTCGCGGCTGGAACAGGTGGCGGCTACCTTTGGTACCAGCGAGTTCAGGCCAATCGTTATGCTAATCCTGAGGGCGGCCCGTCCGGACAGAGTCCTTAGCACCGATTTTTCTCTTCACAAGGAGCACGAACTGAACTGTTTGAGCAGGCCGACGGACTGTCACTTCTTGACTATTAGGGCTTCGGTCGGGTACATTGCAATTCAAACGGAACCCATTGAAATCGCTGGGAGGACAGTCTGCCATGCCAATCTACGAATACCATTGCCCAACCTGCAGCAACAAGTTCGAGAAACTTCAGTCCATGAGCGCTACGGGTGCCGACTGCCCCCAGTGTGAACAGCCGGCCAAGCGAGCCCTGTCGGTATTTGCCTCCATCAGCAGCGGCGAGTCCTCCGGCAGTGGCGAGTTCAGCCAGATGCCGGTTCCGCCCATGCGTGGTGGCGGTTGCTGTGGCGGCGGCTGTTTCCACTAGGCCGCAACAGTAACCAATAACCTTAACAAGATTACCAAGGCCGACTGGCCTCTGAATCTTCTTTGTGCCCCAAGTTAGAAATACCGTCCCCGTTTGGAGACGGTATTTCGCGTCTATTGCTCGGAATTGGGATAAGCTCTGCGGGGCACTGGGAAATGCCTTCCCACTACATTAGGCGAATCGGTCTCGGGCGGTTGGTCTTCTTGCCCCCGCCTACGTTTAATACCTGAGGCAACTCGTGCAAGCCGGCAAATGGAAACCATTCTGTCGATAGCCACCTTTGCAACCCCGTGAGCGACTATCGCCAGCAAAGCGTAATTGCCACCCCAAATCAGAACTGTTACCGCCGCGGCTACGGTTAGAATCAGGATCCCATTGAGGTACTTGCCAGGATTGCCGCAGGTCTCGCCGTGCAACCAGAACCAGCCTGCTGCTCCCGTAGCCAGTTTGCATGGCATCCCCGCGGCGGAGTCAACAATCCTGTCAACCCTCCCCTCTCTAGTCGGGATAAAACCGGCCAAAAATGCGATGGCAGCCATGATTGCGACACCTGCTGCCTTGATCCCCGAATGGTGGAAAGTGTCCTCTTCATCAGGAGCCGTAATGAGATTAGCTGTATCAACGGTTTGATTTACTATTCCAAAAGCGGCTCCCCTGGACCAAACCCAGACATTTGCATGGCAGCGGACTCCCTATGAGTCCTAAGTACCTACCCGTTAAGGCACTCCCTGGCGCATTGTATTTATAAAGGACGAGGCAGCGTTGAGCTGTTCCAGGAAATCACGTATCAATGTAATACTTCGCCACGCAATATGCTGCTTCAAAAATCGCCTTCGGGCCTCGAAGCTCGGGAGGCTTCACATCGTAACTACGGTGACCAACGACTCTGACAAGCAACCCTTGACACCCCAAATGGCAAGTGTCAGACTTACGCTGTCCCTGGAAACGGAGAATGAGCAGATTTTAGTAGCTTGACTGCCAACCTGCGATAACAGGCCCAGGGCATGAATTTATTGGGGAGGATATTTCATGGCAGACGTGAAAATCGAAGTCCGGGCAAACGGCCCCAACCGGGTGATGGGCCCCATCGAGATAGTTGATATGTCCGGCAACAACTACAGCATTCCCGAAGGGCAGTGGGTTTCTCTCTGCCGGTGTGGCGCCTCAGCCAACAAGCCCTTCTGCGACGGCGGTCACCGTGACGCCGGATTTGATGCTCCCAGCGAGGCTCAGTAAAGATACCGACATGCCGGGCATGCGCCTGGCCAAGGTATGGACTTACCCAAAGCACATGAACAGGGTCGGGAACAGCCCCTTCGGGCATAATTCCGGCCCTTTGCTTTTTCGCGCATCCTGCTTCCTGAATTGGGATTAAGTGTACCCAAAGATCGTCGAGTCCCTGGTAAATCTGCCCAACAAGCGCCGCAAATGAGGTTTAGCTATGCCCGACAACGAAACGATACTCCAGGCTGCACGAAGCCTGTTCGCTCAATACCAGGCCAACGAGACCTTCACAGCCCTGCCGGGTCCCTGGAGCATAGAAACCATTCCGGAAGCCTACGCCGTGCAGCGAGAGTACCTAAGATTCCTGGCCGAGGATCAGGGCAAGCTTGCGGGCTACAAACTGGCCTACACCACCGCCACCATGCAGCAGCGGGCGGGCTGGCATGAGCCTTGCGCCGGGGCCCTGATGGCTACCACCATCTACCAATCCCCAACAACTTTGAAGGGAGCCTCTTACCGGCGGCTGGGAATGGAGTGCGAGGTGGCCGTGGAACTGGCTGACGACCTGCCGGCCTCGGGCGCTCCATACACTCGGGACTCTGTGGCCGAGGTCGTAGGGGCGGTTATGGCGGCCTTCGAGGTAATCGACATGCGCCTGCCTGAAGGGATGGACGGTCTAGAACGGACCCTGACCTCGGTGGCTACCAATATATCCAATGCCGGCGCAGTTCTCGGCCCGCGGGTCACTGACTGGCGCAACCTGGACCTGCCCTCCGCTAAAGGCTCGGCTACCATTAACGGTTTGGAGGTTGGGGCAGGGTACGGTTCAGATGTTATGGGCCATCCTTTCGAACCCCTGGCCTGGCTGGCAAACAAGCTGGCGGCGGAAGGGGAGAGCCTGCCGAAAGGAACCATCGTTATCACCGGCAGCATCGTACCGCCCAAGTTCCTGGAGCCGGGCGACAATGCCGTGGTGGAAGTGGAAGGATTGGGCGAGGCGACTCTGAGGGTGGAGTAATTTCTGAATCTTCCAGCCAGCCGATTCAAAGAAACAGGGGCGGGTTTTAAGCCCGCCCCTGTTTGAGTACCGTTGGTTGAACCAACCGGTGTAACTTTCACTATCGGGCCCGGCGCATGTGCCTTACGCCGCGCACCGAGGCCAGCCTGTCTTCCGCCAGTCGGTCGGCAGCCATGAAGGTAGGAATTTCCTCCCTCCTGGAAGTGTGAATCACCTGCTCCATAATCTCGTAGATGCGTTCCGTCTTTTCCCTGGCCACATCCGGGCTGTAGGCCATACCGACCTCGGCGGAAACATTTATGATGCCTCCAGCGTTGATCAGGTAATCGGGTGCGTAAAGAATGCCTCGCCGGTGCAGGTCTTCTCCGTCGGCATCGGTCAACAACTGGTTGTTGGCCCCGCCGGCCACGATCTGACAGGACAGCCTGGGAATCGTGTCACCATTCAAAACACCACCCAAGGCGCAGGGAGAGAAAATGTCGCAAGGGATGTTGTAGATATCATCCGTTGAAACGACCTCGACCCCCATATCTCGTGCTTTGTTCAGGGCCCCGTCGTAAACATCGGTTACGAAAAGTTCAGCGTCCTCTTCAAGCAGGTGCTGAGCAGTGTGGTAGGCCACCTTGCCGAAGCCCTGCATCGCCACCCGCTTGCCCCTTAGGGAGTCGCTACCCCAGGTTTGCCGGGCGCAAGCCTTCATTCCCATGTAAACCCCGAGGCCGGTCATGATAGAGGTATCGCCGCTGCCGCCCAGCGGAATGGGCAATCCCACCACGTATTCCGTTTCCTGGCTAATAAACTCCAGGTCCCGACCCGTGCTGCCAACGTCGGTCGTGGTCAGATAGCGGCCACCCAGAGTGTCGACAAACCGCCCGTAGGCCCGGAGCAGCGCCTCGGTCTTTTGAGTGTTGGGGTCAGCGATTATTACGCCCTTTCCTCCGCCCAGGGAAAGCCCGGCCGTGGCCGACTTGTAGGTCATGGCTCGCCCCAGGCGCAAGGCGTCCTGTATGGCCTCTTTTTCGGTGGCGTAGGGCCAAATCCTCGTGCCACCGCAAGCCGGACCCAGGGTAGTATCGTGAATAGCAATTATCGCCTTAAGCCCGGAGGCGGGATCGGAACACATAACCAGTTGCTCGTAGCCGTATTCGCCCATGTTCTCAAACAGTTGCATTTGAACCTCCTCCTGCAGAGATTGGCATTCGGATGCATAAAGTGAGGATCGTTAACTGACACTTATAATTATACTAGATAATTAGAATTTGAAACTATGAAACTCTTTGCGAAATCGGCACGATTCCAACCATTTTTTCAGAGTTTCGGATTCTCTTGTAATTCTAGGCGTTGACATTCCTTCAACCCAATGATTAATTGTAACTAATCATGCTGAATATCGGAATAGAAGCCCCCGATTTTTCGATGCCCTTGATTACGGGAGGCGAGTTTTCCCTTCTCGATCATCGGGGCACAAATGTTGTCATCTATTTCTTTCTGAGGGCATTCACCCACGGTTGAACCGTCCAGACCAGGGAGTTTGGAAACTCCCAAGCAGAGCTCAGAGCAAGAAATGCTCTTACAGTTGGAGTTAGCCCGGACAGAGTGGATAGGCTGCAGAGATTTGCTGTAGCCAACGGCATTTCCTTTCCGTTGGGCAGCGATGCTTCAGGGCACGTAAGGCGTCTCTATGATGTTCAGCGAAGGTTCGGCTTGGGCCCGTCCCGGTTCACCTACGTAATTGACGCAGAAGGGATTATTCGGGACGTTTACCATAACGAATTTGCCATGACCAGCCACGCCCGAAGGGTGGTGAAAGTGCTGGACGACCTTCAGTAGGACTCACTCCCATTCTTCAACCTAAAGACACGAACGACCAGTTACAGCTACAGGAACCCAGCGCGTTAACTGACGATGACATAATAACCTCTGGGGAGACAGAAACGGAGAGAGATGACCAAGTTCCACCCCACGATAACCTCATCCCGATCCTGGGGATCAGCCTTGCAGTTGGAATGGCGCTCCTGGCAATCGCTTTAATTTGGGTCGCCAGAAAGGGAAGGCTGGAACCCGCAAATTAAGGGAAATCCCCCCAATGGCCCTCGGGACCGCACTCTGGCCCACGAGACCTCAATTACACTTCAAGCAGGACTGTTCCCGTTGGAGGTTTCGAGTTTCTTGCCCGGCTCCACCGCAGCAATGAAATTGCAGTCATCACGGGACTCCAATGCAAGTGGGTCATACCTTGTGCTGAAACGGGGAAGCCGCTTATAATCTTTTGAACGCTAAGATATCAAGTTTTCGGGGGGAAGCCGTGACTACAGGTCAGACCAGCAGCCAGGCCGGTGAATTGTTAGCCTTTTTCCGGGGAAACTACGTTCCTCTAAGCCAGGCCAAGGTCAGTGTTATGACCCACGCCCTGCACTACGGCACCGGCGTGTTCGAAGGTATTCGCGGAAACTGGAACGAAGAACAGGGAGTAGTCAATATATTCCGGCTGCGGGAACACTATGAGCGATTGCTGCGCGGCGCCCGCCTGCTGATGTTGAACATCCCCTATAGCGCCGAAGAATTGTGCGATATCACGGTTGAACTGGTGGAACGCAACGAACACAGCCAGGACATTTACATTCGCCCCCTGGTGTACAAGAGCGCCGAAATGGTGGCGAACCTCAAATTGCAGGATCTGGAAAGCGACTTCACGCTTATCACCGTACCCTTTGGCAACTATCTGGGTAGCGACCTGCTGCGTTGCTGCACTTCTTCCTGGCGGCGCGTGGACGACCCGATGATCCCCGCTCGTCTCAAGATCTGTGGCATTTATGTCAACAGCATTCTGGCAAAGACGGAGGCTACCCTGGCCGGATTCGATGAAGCCATCATCCTCAACCATGACGGTCACGTTTGCGAAGGTTCCGGTGAAAACCTGTTCGTGGTATCGGATGGCAGGTTGATAACCCCAAGCCTCGAGGACAACGTGTTGCCAGGCATTACCCGGGACACCGTAATCCAGTTGGCGCAGAGCGAACTGGGGTTGGACGTGCTGGAGCGAAGCATCGACCGCAGCGAGCTTTACCTGGCCGATGAAGTCTTCCTTACCGGCACTGCGGCCCACCTTACGCCGGTGGTGGAACTGGACCACCGTCCCATTGGCGACGGCAATGCCGGCCCCGTTTCCAGCAAGCTGCAGAAAATGTACTTCGACATCGTTGTCGGCCGCACTGAAAAGTACCGGCACTGGTGCACTCCGGCTTCTCCCCGACTGGTGACAGTTTAGCGGCCGATAACCCCCACACCAGCACAGCTGATTCTCGTCCATCCCCACTTTTCTGAGGAGAAGAGAGCCAGTGGTGCAGCCCGGCTCGATTTCCAGCTTTATGGCAATAGCATTGACCCTTGTGGTCATTGGCTATTTTGTGGGCAGCGTTTCGCCGTCTTACATGCTTGTGCGCCGGCGTCTGGGAAGAGACATCAGGCAACTGGGAGATGGGAACGCCGGGGCCGAGAATGTCTCGCGGCTGGTGGGACTGAGACCGGCAATTGCCGTCGCGGCTTTTGACATTTCGAAGGGGCTGGCAGTAGTGCTGGTCACCCGAGGCATAACGCCTGCGAACCAGGGTGATAATTCCTGGGAAACCCAGATTTCCTGGGAAGGCCTCCGATGCGGGCTCATGGTGGCGGCGGGCGCCGCAGCAATTATCGGTCACAGTTGGTCGGTTTACTTGAAAGGCGCGGGAGGCAGGGGAGCAGCCACCGCAGTTGGCGCGTTGTTCGGCATGATTACGCTTCCGGCTCTCCTGGTAATGTTTCCCGCTTTTGCCTTGATGTGGTATTTCCGAAGTACCACCTGGGGGCTGGCCAGTTTCTTCGTTGGGACCGTCTCGCTAACTGTTTTCCTTGGTTACTTTGGCCTGTTGGGATACTCTCTGACGTGGGTTCCTTACGTTGTCACTCTGCCTGCCCTTGTAGGGGTGATCCACGTTTTGAGCCTTAAGCGGTCGCCGGCAAGGGCCGCTGCCTTCTCCGAAAAATGAGTGAGGCAAACGCCGGTTGCCTGGAGTGTGGTATTCTGGCATTTGTGGCTCCATTCCTGAAGGGAATGGCAATCCCCAGAAATCCTTGCGACTATATCCCGCGGCGCTTCATTAGGACCTTAGCTGAATGTGGATCCTCGTTGCCCTGGTTTCGGCCTCTACTCTGGCAGTGGTAAACCTCACCGATAAACGCCTGCTGGATCACCATCTGCCAAACCTCTCCACTCTGTATGCCTGGGTAGCCTTCGGCCTGCTCCTATATATTATTGGCGCAATTGCTATTTCCGGCGTACCCAACGACACCTCGCCAGCCTATGTAATAGCGGCGATTGCCTCGGGCCTTGCCCTGGGCATCGGCTATGCGCTCCTGTTCGTCGGCCTCAAGGTTGGCGAAGCATCCCGGGCCGTTGCCATAGCCCAAATTTATCCCATCTTCGTCGCCATACTTGCCGTCTTGCTATTGGAAGAACGCCTCAGTCTGATGCAGTGGGCGTCCATTGTCCTGGTGGTACTGGGCACGATGAGCATCTCCCTGCCCAACTTTCCCCGCAGTCTGAGGGGGCTCAAACCCTCCCGGGGTGTCCCGGTATTGATTGCCAGCGGACTGTTTCTCGGAGTGGGATTCTTCACCGCCAAGCTGGCCCTGCAAGAAAGTTCATTCTCGACAGTGTTCATCTATCAGCAGTTCGGGACTTTTTTGGCCTTCATGCCCTTTTGCCGTCCCACAGTTTGCCGCCAACTCCTGGGAGCTATGAAAGACCCCAAGACGGTAGGCCTTTTGGTAGTGGGGGAAGGAATATTGCCCCTGGTAGTGGTTGCCGGCGCGTTGCAAGCAACAAACATGGGTCCAGTCTCCCTGGTCTCTGCTTTTCTGGCGACCACCCCTCTCTTCGTATTCGTCCTGGCCACTCTGCTGAGCCACGCCCGCTGGCAGGTAATGGAAGAGGCAATCAATCGGCAGGCCCTCACGTTCAAGTTCGCATCGATTGCCATGATCATAATTGGCGTAAGCGCGCTGGGCCTCTTCTAGACCTCTTCCGACTTCCTCCAAGCCGCCAGGCCAGGGCTAATTCCCTTCTCCAGCCAGGCCGGGCCACAGCAGGCATTCAAGGTCTGGGCAGGTTTGACACTTCAGCCCAACTAACCGACAATCCACGAAAATCTCGCGACACCCTACCACAACATTGGAGGCCAACATGGGCTGGTCCAGCCATCACCAGAACGGGCTGATCTACTACAACCCCCAGCAAAGTTACCGGGGTTACACGCTGGTGGCAACCAACCGCGGCGGTACCTACGCCAACCTGATAGACATGGAAGGCCGAATCTGCCACCGTTGGTATCACCCGGAGGAGATCGTTTACGGCTACCTGCTTCCCAACGGGAACCTGATCTTTCGCAGCCGGACCGCCCGAAACGAGAGTGAGGGCCCAACTTTCGGGGGTCGGTCCATGTCCCTGATTGAGCTGGACTGGAACAGCAACGTGGTTTGGAAATACGAGAGCCCTGATATGTTCCTGCACCATGACTTCGAGCGGCTACTGAACGGAAACACGCTGGTCCTGCTGTGGGCGCCGGTTCCGGCAGATCTGTCCGTCCAGATCAAGGGAGGTTTCGTGGCCGATGATGACCCCGAGCAGAGTTGGGGTGATGTGATCCAGGAAATTACTCCTAACGGCGAAGTGGTCTACGAGTGGAAGTCCTGGGAGTTTCTCAACGTGGACGAAGACGTCATCTGTCCCCTGGAAGGGCGGAAGGAGTGGTCACACCAGAACGCCTTGAACGTCACTCCGGATGGCGACCTTATAGTTAGCTACCGTCAAACCAGCACGGTAGGGATTGTAGACAAGGCCAGCGGCCAGTTCCGGTGGAAGTGGGGGCCCGGCGAGGTTAACCACCAGCACCATCCCACCTGGCTACCTAATGGTCGGGTGATGATGTTCGACAATGGCTCACACCGGCGCGGGGCCAGCCGCTCCCGAATCATCGAAGTGGATCCGGAGACCAACGAGATTGGCTGGGAGTACACCGGCACGCCCGACATATCCTTCTTCAGCTACAACATCAGCAGCGCGGAACGGCAGCCCAATGGCAACACTGTAATCTGCGAAGGGGCGCCGGGTCGCATCTTCGAGGTGACCCAGTCAAAGGAAATAGTGTGGGAGTATGTCAGCCCCTTCTATGGAGAAGGGGCAGGTGGTCCGCCTCAGAACGGGGTATTCCGCGCCCACCGCTATGGTCCCGACCATCCTGCCCTGTTTGGAAAAGACCTGGACCCGCGCCGGTATTCCAACTTGAACCGGCTTTACGCTTCAGGCTGAACTTACCATAGCGACACGGTTCTGACGCGCCAACGACTGACGGCAGCGAATGAAATAAACCATATACGGGCTCCAGAGTGAGAATGGGAGAGAAATATTATGGGAAAGCTGGACGACAAGGTAGCGCTGATAACCGGCTCGGGCCGGAACATTGGGAGAGCCACCGCCCTCAAGTTCGCCGAAGAGGGCGCTGACATTATTGTTAACGCCCGCAGCAACCGGGAGGAGGCCGAATCGGTGGCTGAAGAGATACGAGTTCTGGGCCGGCGAGCCCTGCCTGTCCTGGCCGACGTGTCCAACAAGGAGCAGGTGGACAGCATGGTCAAGATGGGCCTGGACGAATTTGGCCGGATTGACATTCTTCTTAACAATGCCGCCATCCGACCCCACAAGCCGTTTCTGGAATTGACCGTGGAGGACTGGGAATATGTGAGGGGGGTGGTACTGGACGGCGCCTTTTACTGCACCCACGCGGTAATGCCTTCGATGGTAGAGAACAACTATGGTCGGGTGCTCTTCTTCACTGGCGACGGCGCCTGGGCTGGAGGGGCCCAACGGGGGCACGTATCGGCTGCCAAGATGGGACTGGTTGGCTTTTCGCGGAGTCTGGCCACCGAGTTTGCACCCAACAACGTACGGGTTAACGTAGTATCCCCGGGCAGCATCGACACAAGCCGGGCCAATCCGGAGTGGTACGTCGAAAGTCGGCCTCCCAGTGCCTCCGGCATCCCCCTGGGCGCCAGGGCAAAACCGACGAAATCGCCGCCGCCTGCCTGTTCCTGGTCAGCGACGACGGGGGATTTATAACGGGGCAGACCCTGCATGTGAACGGCGGGTCAGCGTTTTTCTAATTTCAACTAACCCTTAAAGAACGAGACAATGATTATCAGTCGGGTACAGGTTCTCAATTACGGATGTTTGAGATACGTTGACGTGCCCTTGGACCGATTCCACGTATTTATCGGCCCAAACGCCAGCGGTAAGAGCACCCTAATGGATGCCATAAAGTTCGTCTCGGACGTTGTGCGAGACGGAGTAGAAGCGGCTTGCCGCGCCCGTACCGCCAACTTTGTTGATTTGGTGTGGGGCCGTCCCACTAACCCCAATGAACAGAGATTCGAGATTGCTCTGGAATTTGCCTTGCCTGAAGAGGTTCGGGCCATGATGCCGGAAAGCAGGCCCTATACTATATTCCGGTATGAAATTGTAATCTCCCCCAACCCAGAAAGCGGCCGACTCCAATTGACAGAAGAGGCGGGCACCCTTTTGCTGGGTTCAAACCTCAGAGCCAGGCAATGGGCCATGTTTCCCGACCCGATAGTCTCCACAAATACGATTGTCCAGCCGATAGCCAGGGGGAGACGTACTGTATTCCGAAAAAATGAAAACGGTCGCAGCCGCTTCAACGCGGAAACGGTGGAGGATACAGGCAGCGTCAACTGGAATCCCGGGGTAGCATTGAACCCCGACCGGTCGGCTTTGTCCATCCTGCCTGACTATGACGAGCAGTTTCCCGCCTCTACCAATGTACTGGTCTTCATGCGCGACAGTGTTATCCCTTTGACCCTGAACAGTGAGCAGATGCGTCGAGCCAGCCCTCCGGGAATAGGGGACGAGCTACGGCACGATGGCTCCAATCTTCCTTGGGTTGCCGATGAACTTTTGGAGAATGACTCACTAAGGGCAAAGTGGTGGTTGGGCCACATGGTGGCAGCCCTAGACGGATTCAAGTCCGTCCGGGTGGTGGAACGCCCCGATGACCGGCACAAATACTTCATGCTGAAGTATCTTAACGGCCTGGAGGTGCCATCGTGGAAGGCCTCGGACGGCACATTGCGCTTCATGGCGCTGACTTTGCTGGCAAATCTGGCCAAGGCAACAGGTCTATACATGATCGAGGAACCGGAGAACGGCATCCACCCCGGTGCTTTGGAGGAACTCTTTTATTCCCTTTCCTCGGTTTACAACGCACAGGTATTGCTAGCCACTCATTCCCCGGAAATAGTCGCGGTCTCGCGTATTGAGCATCTCCGGATTTTCGGCAAGACCTCCACAGGAGAGGTAGACATTACCTCCGGAGAGAATCACCCTCGCCTGGCAGACTGGCAATCATCGGTGAACCTGGGAACCTTTTTTGCCTCTGGCATCTTGGCCTAACGCTTATGCCGGAAATACGGGACCTCTTCATACTCGCCGCAGATTCTCAATTACAGACCACTTTAAATACCCTGCTGGAATTCAGGAGGCCTTCTCTGGGCATTCGCGACATTTCCTTTGAAATACGGCGGCACCCGAATAAAGACCCAGGATGCCGCACCGAGTCGGTTTCCTATTTGCGGGAAATCCAGCAAGAGTATTCGAAGGCTATGGTGATGTTTGACTTTCAAGGTTGCGGCGCATCGAACGCCGGACCGGAGGAGTTGGAAGAGCGCCTGGAAACCGACTTGGAAAGCGCAGGTTGGAACAGAACGGATTCTGCCGTCGTGGTGATTTACCCGGAACTTGAAACGTGGCTATTCGGTGGATCGTTCCAAAGGTTTCAGCAAGCCATAGGATGGACTAATTCCCCAACCTTGCGGAGCTGGTTCGAACTTAGAGGGTACTTGGAGCCGGGGGCGGCAAAGCCCGAAGCTCCTCAGAAGGCAGTGGACGCCTTGCTGTCCGAAGTAAGGAAGCCTAGAAGTCTGGCCGGAAAGCCATTGGCCCCGTTTCCTGCTGATAAACGGAGACGGTTTACGGTCTTATAGGGCATAGTGGCGTATAATAAACGTCTCAGAAAACCAACAAACCATCGACAAACGACGTTGAGAAAATGACCGCTTGGAGAGAATCGGGGTTTCCGGCCACGTTTCTAGGCCATGGGCAAGTAGGTGATGTCGGCCGACCACGCCTGGTTGGGCCGGGTAACTCTGATCTTTCAACAGGTAGGGATAGACCCGGTGCTCCGGCGCCGGCCGGCTGGTGCGGGGACTCCGGTAGATGGCCCGCAGCCCCATGATGCGCCTCGACCCGTAGAAGGGTGTATCCAGGTACTGCCGGTCCATGGCTTGCATCAAGGCCAGGTTCTCGCCGGAGGCTTCCCTGGGCCGATAATACAGGCTGGAACGGGCCACTCCCAGCCAGAGCCTGCCCCCGCGAAGGCGGGGGGCGCACTGCCGCGCTATCGACAACGATAGATGTTCCCGGTCCACCATCCCCCGCCGCTTTGCCAAGCTCATGGGCCAGGCTCATGGGCCAGACATCTCCGACAAGAAATCCCGCTCCACCTTCAGCTGTCCGATTTCCTGGTACAGCCGGGCGATCAGGGCGGCGTCGCTGCTGGCCTTCTGCTCTTGCCCGTTGCTGAACACGCCGGCGGCTCCTGCGGTCAGGGCTTTCTTCCAGGTCTGAATCTGGCTGGCATGGACCTGGTACCTGGCCGCCAGTTGGGCCACCGTCTCCTCCCCCTTCACCGCCTCCAGTGCCATCTTGGCCTTGAACGCCGGACTGTGCTTTCTCCGTGCTTTGGTCATTTCCCACTCCGCCCTGGCGGCATCCGCTGCCCTCAGTTCAGGAGCAGGACTCTCGCTTAGCTACCTATCCAGTTTCCTGGGTCCATCTCACCACACAGATTGCCCGGCTGCGCAAGGGCCGCGGCCAACACCATTATCGTTTTTTGGGTTCCACAACCTCAATGCGGCCTAGAAATCTGGCCGGAAACTGGCTTCAGCCGGGTGGTCAGCTATACTTGGGGCATCAAGAAATAGCGAGGAATGATAGTGCTGGAGAGCCATCCGATCAGAGGGGTCTTTGGGAAGCGGACCGGTTGGGACCTGGACGCAACGTGGGGCGGGACACCTTTCTACGGTCTGCTGGCCTCGCAGCGGGGCCGGCTGTTCCGGGACGCCGATTTCGCCGAGTCTACTGCCCCGGACAACGGCCGGGACAGCGTGCCGCCCAGCCTGCTGGCGACGGCGCTGCTGCTCCAGTCCCACGACAAGGTGAGCGACGCCGAGGCGAAGGCCCGGGCTGACTTTGACCTCCGGTGGAAAGGTGGCCCTGGGGATTGAGGTGGAGGACCGGCCCTTCGCCAAGAGCACACTGCAGGTGTTCCGCGCCCAGCTGATCCTGCACGACAAGGTGCGGGAGGTGTTCGAGTCCAGCCTGCGGCTGGCCCGGGAGTCGGGCTACCTGAAAAAGCGGAGCATGCGGGTTGCGCTGGACACGACCAACATCCTGGGGCGGGGCGCGGTGAAGGACACCTGCAACCTGTTGGCGGACGGGGTCGTCAAGCTGCTGCGGACGCTGGCAGCCGTGGAGAAGTCTACGTCAAGAAGGGCAAGGCCCGTGTGGTCGACGGGCAGAGTCACCTGTCGGCTCCAGTACTTCCCTTCCATATAGGGCGAGGCCGCCATCGACTGGAGCGACAACGGGCGCGGCATACCCTGCTGGCCGAGATTGTGAGAGACGCGGACCGGTTGTTGGAGCTTGTCGCGGCAGGCGCAGGGGGAGTTGACCAGGACGGTGAGGAGCGGCCAGCACCATCGTGACGGCGGCGGAACTGCTGGGGCAGTTGCTGCTCCAGGACGTGAACGAGTTGAGGCGGCGTGAGCCTCAAGGATGGAGTGAGCCGGGACCGGATGATGTCGGTGCATGATCCGGAATGCGCCACGTGCACAAGAGCAGCAGCCGGCGCTTTGACGGGCACAAGGCGGCGATTGTGGTGGATACCGACACCCAGCTGATCACCGCCGTGGCGGTACTGCCGGGCAACGCTCCGGACAACCTGGGGGCGCTGGAACTGGTGGAACAGAGCGAGGCCAACACCGGTGTACCGGTGCAGGAGGCCATGGGCGACGCCGCCTATGGGGACGGAGCTACCAGGCAGACCTTCGCCGATGTGGGCCGCAAGCTGGTAGCCGGGTGCCAGGCCGGCCCGACCGGAAGCACTTTCCCAAGGATGACTTTGTCATCGACCTGGCCGCGGGCAGTTGCACCTGTCCGGCGGGACAGGTCACCCACACCATCGTGCCAGCGGGAAAGCGGACGATGCCGCGGGGCGGGTATACCGCTGGCAGGCCTTCCAGTTCGACGGGGCCGAATGCCGGACATGTCCACTGCGGTCCCAGTGCATCGCAGCCAAGGGCAGGAAGGGACGGCGGGTGCTGATCCATCCCCAGGAAGGCCTCCTGCAGGAGGCACGGGCGTTGCAGCAGAGCGCCGCTACGACGAATATCGAGCGCGACGCGTGGCGGTGGACACCGGTTGGCCCCGACTGGTCCAGTTGGGCATCCGCCAGTCCCGCTATTTCGGCAGGGTCAAGACGCGATTCCAGCTGTATCTGGCGGCTACAGTGGCCAACCTGACCCTGGTGGCGGGCAAAATCGGGCTGTCGGACAGTGTCGGCGGCGGAGCGGAAGCCCACCGCGTCGTCCTCAGTGCCGTCCCCAGTGATGTCCAGGCTGTTTCCCCACGGTGTTGTCGCCCATGCTACGGCCATTTTCGGCGCGGTCCGGCTCGGAATACTGTGGACCGTGATTCTGCTCAAGCCGGCTTTACTGCCGAAATCCCTCTCCCCAACCAGGG